CACACTCGCACACACACACACGCTCACACACTCACACGCACGCACACACACACACACGCTCACACACGCACAGTCACACACACACACACACCCACACACACACGCACTCATGCACAAGCACATTCACAGACACTCACTCACTCACTCACACGCACGCACACATACACACACACACTCACTCGCACACACGCACAGACACACACGCTCACACACGCACAGTCACACACACACACACACCCACACACACACGCACTCATGCACAAGCACATTCACAGACACTCACTCACTCACTCACACGCACGCACACATACACACACACACTCACTCGCACACACGCACAGACACACACGCTCACACACGCACAGTCACACACACGCACAGACACACACGCTCACACATGCACAGTCACACACACACACACACACACACACACACTCACTCACACACACGCACAGACACACACGCTCACACATGCACAGTCACACACACACACACACACACACACACACTCACTCACACACACGCACAGACACACACGCTCACACATGCACAGTCACACACACACACACACACACACACACACTCACTCACACACACGCACAGACACACACGCTCACACATGCACAGTCACACACACACACACACACACACACACACTCACTCACACACACGCACAGACACACACGCTCACACATGCACAGTCACACACACACACACACACACACACACACTCACTCACACACACGCACAGACACACACGCTCACACATGCACAGTCACACACACACACACACACACACACACACTCACTCACACACACGCACAGACACACACGCTCACACATGCACAGTCACACACACACACACACACACACACACACTCACTCACACACACGCACAGACACACACGCTCACACATGCACAGTCACACACACACACACACACACACACACACTCACTCACACACACGCACAGACACACACGCTCACACATGCACAGTCACACACACACACACACACACACACACACTCACTCACACACACGCACAGACACACACGCTCACACATGCACAGTCACACACACACACACACACACACACACACTCACTCACACACACGCACAGACACACACGCTCACACATGCACAGTCACACACACACACACACACACACACACACTCACTCACACACACGCACAGACACACACGCTCACACATGCACAGTCACACACACACACACACACACACACACACTCACTCACACACACGCACAGACACACACGCTCACACATGCACAGTCACACACACACACACACACACACACACACTCACTCACACACACGCACAGACACACACGCTCACACATGCACAGTCACACACACACACACACACACACACACACTCACTCACACACACGCACAGACACACACGCTCACACATGCACAGTCACACACACACACACACACACACACACACTCACTCACACACACGCACAGACACACACGCTCACACATGCACAGTCACACACACACACACACACACACACACACTCACTCACACACACGCACAGACACACACGCTCACACATGCACAGTCACACACACACACACACACACACACACACTCACTCACACACACGCACAGACACACACGCTCACACATGCACAGTCACACACACACACACACACACACACACACTCACTCACACACACGCACAGACACACACGCTCACACATGCACAGTCACACACACACACACACACACACACACACTCACTCACACACACGCACAGACACACACGCTCACACATGCACAGTCACACACACACACACACACACACACACACTCACTCACACACACGCACAGACACACACGCTCACACATGCACAGTCACACACACACACACACACACACACACACTCACTCACACACACGCACAGACACACACGCTCACACATGCACAGTCACACACACACACACACACACACACACACTCACTCACACACACGCACAGACACACACGCTCACACATGCACAGTCACACACACACACACACACACACACACACTCACTCACACACACGCACAGACACACACGCTCACACATGCACAGTCACACACACACACACACACACACACACACTCACTCACACACACGCACAGACACACACGCTCACACATGCACAGTCACACACACACACACACACACACACACACTCACTCACACACACGCACAGACACACACGCTCACACATGCACAGTCACACACACACACACACACACACACACACTCACTCACACACACGCACAGACACACACGCTCACACATGCACAGTCACACACACACACACACACACACACACACTCACTCACACACACGCACAGACACACACGCTCACACATGCACAGTCACACACACACACACACACACACACACACTCACTCACACACACGCACAGACACACACGCTCACACATGCACAGTCACACACACACACACACACACACACACACTCACTCACACACACGCACAGACACACACGCTCACACATGCACAGTCACACACACACACACACACACACACACACTCACTCACACACACGCACAGACACACACGCTCACACATGCACAGTCACACACACACACACACACACACACACACTCACTCACACACACGCACAGACACACACGCTCACACATGCACAGTCACACACACACACACACACACACACACACTCACTCACACACACGCACAGACACACACGCTCACACATGCACAGTCACACACACACACACACACACACACACACTCACTCACACACACGCACAGACACACACGCTCACACATGCACAGTCACACACACACACACACACACACACACACTCACTCACACACACGCACAGACACACACGCTCACACATGCACAGTCACACACACACACACACACACACACACACTCACTCACACACACACACAGACACACACACACACACACACACACTCACACACACGCACAGACACACACACACACGCACTCATGCACAAGCACATTCACACACACACACTCGTACATGTTTTTACACAATCATTATTTAATCACCGCGTTGTTTGACTTGTCTTCCTTCAAATACTAAAACAGATTCAACTATTTTAATAGATAAACAGTAAAGAAGCAGCAGGTCATAAATCTGATATATTTGCTGTGTGGACATGAAGATAAACCAGTAAAATATTACACAACTTTCTTACCGTAGAAAAGTGGTACATATATTGACAGTACAGTGCAAACAATAAAATGTAATTGTAATATAATTAAAACTCACACATGGTTTTCTTGATAACAGACAGTGACTGATTCAAGAACACTTGTTAACTGAATATCAAGACACTGAATTATTAGGCACTTGAACTCGAGTTCATCTTAATCCAGACAGAAATATGCAAATATTGCCAATAGAGGTGCCAATATATGAATGACCACACTAAAGTGCACATTCGTTTTGAGAAATCACATTTTTCGCAAAATAGCCCTTCCGTAATTATGTATTTACAGTTATTAATTTTTTACTCCCAGACAGTCATAAACATGGCATTTCATGTTTTGCTCCTAAAAGGGCATCAAGGCATTCTCTGTTAATCTTAAAGGAACACGCCACTATTTTTGAAAATAGGCTCATTTTCCAGCTCCCCTAGAGTTAAACAGTTGAGTTTTACCGTTTTCGAATCCATTCAGCCGATCTCCGGGTCTGGCGGTAGCACTTTTAGCTTAGCTTAGCATAGATCATTGAATCTGATTAGACCGTTAGCATCTCGCTCAAAAATGACCAAAGAGTTTCTATATTTTTCCTATTTAGAACTTGACTCTTCTGTAGTTACATCGTGTACTAAGACCGACGGAAAATTAAAAGTTGCAATTTTCTAGGCCGATATGGCTAGGAACTATACTCTCATTCCAGCCCACGGAGTGTGTGTGTGCGCGTGTGTGAGTGTGTGTGTGTGTGTGTGTGTGTTTGTGCGTGAGTGTGTGTGTGTGCATGTGTAAGTGTGTGTGCGCGTAAGTGTGTGTGTGTGTGCGCGCGCGCGAGTGTATGTGTGTGTGTATGTGTGTGTGTGTGTGTGCGCATAAGTGTGTGTGTGTGTGTGTGAGAGTGTGTGTGTGTGTGTGTGTGAGTGAGTGTGTGTGTGTGTGTGTGTGTGTGCGCGCGAGTGCGCAAGTGTGTGTGAGTATCATCGAGTGATGATATTACGCAGCGCCTGAAAATAGGCCCCAGCACGCTCCCTGTGCTAGCAGGTGGTCACGTTGGTTATGTTGACGGAAGTTAGCCTATTTTCAGGCGCTGCGTAATATCATTGCCGGATATGTTATATGATATATTACGCCGGAATGAGAGTATAGTTCCTAGCCATATCGGCCTAGAAAATCACAACTTTTCATTTTCCGTCGGTCTTAGTACACGATGTAACTACAGAAGAGTCAAGTTCTAAATAGGAAAAATATAGAAACTCTTTGGTCATTTTTGAGCGAGATGCTAACGGTCTAATCAGATTCAATGATCTATGCTAAGCTAAGCTAAAAGTGCTACCGCCAGACCCGGAGATCGGCTGAATGGATTCAAAAACGGTAAAACTCAACTGTTTAACTCTAGGGGAGCTGGAAAATGAGCCTATTTTCAAAAATAGTGGCGTGTTCCTTTAACAAAGAATTTGACAATTCTTCTACATTCTTAAATTCAGATTGTCTGTAACGCAGATAAAGGTTGTAAAGGTTTTTCCAGCAGGTTGCACGTTAATCCTCATGTTCTGTTTAGGCTGATGTTCACACGTCAGACGTTTGTCTAGACTTTCTCTAGTCTGTGTCTGTCCTCAGACGCGCCGGCTCGTCTCGTCATCAGAGCGGTGAGTGTTTCTGAAGAGATGGAGCCAAACTCGAGCGAGAAGGAGCTGTAAAACAGCAGCACGATGATGGCAAACATCCACTCCAATATAGCAGCCGCGTGCTGGAGAACAAAACTCTCCTGAATGAAAAACACACCGCCTGCAGGACACAGCGTTAAGGAACAACTGCACAGCACTGTAAAAAAAAAAATGCAACTGCACATTTTCCAGTTTACGAAACCTGTCCAGTCTCAAATACTAAAAAATGCTATTTTCTTGAAACTACATAAAAACCCTTGTCAGACCAACAAAATGACCCCAAATGTTGTCCCAACTAGTCAAAACACAGTTGTCTGAACAAAGAATTTCATATTGTTGCAATGTTAAGGCTTTGAGAGAAATTATGCAGTTACTGTTATAGGATTATAGCTTTGCTGTTTGCCTACTTCATTTAAACCTTTTAGTTGTTGTTTCGTCATTATTGTTAGCTATTTGTTGCGCTGTGATATAAAGAGCTCATCTTTTTAACATTTGTTGATTGCCACTGTCTTGAGGTTTGTGTGTCTAGAGTATGTTCAATCACTTATGTTATCTTACTCTTAAAAGTTGTTTTACAAAAAAATACAACATTGTCTACTTATTAGACTAAGTTATCCATTATCGTTTGTCATTCGTAAACAAACATATATCTGATAATGTGGTGACTTTTTACACATTCTTTTTATCTTCCAGGTAACAGAAAAAAATGAATGACCTCAATGACAGTAAATTGTTGTTTCAGTTGCTGTGACAAGAATTTTTCTATTAGCAAAATAGGACAAACAGCATTGCGTGAACAAACAAATTTACGTTGGCTAAACAAGCTCAGTATCTTTACTGAGCAGAACTAAAAAACTATTGTTGAGAGAACTCAAAAGTCTGCCTTATTTTTTTAAGTTTAAGTCTCAGCTATTTGTTTTTTACAGTGAGCGTTTATGGCCATATGGAGCAGTTTTATGACTTAATGAGCACTGCATGTAGAGGATATTGAGTATGAGGGTGGTGAAGGCCAGCGCGGTGAGCGTCAGCCGCAGATGAGCCGTCTGGAAGTCTCTCTGCGTCTCGGCTGCGCGGTACGAAAGCAGCGTCTGCACGCACACAAACAGCAGACTGCCAGGGAAGGCCAGACCCGCGCCCACATAATGAAGGACTTTAGCATGGTCCACCTGCAGAAAACAGCACAGAGTCAACACAAGTTACAGTTTCAATCCCACTTCACTCTCGGAAAAAAGGCACAAAATCTGGCACTGGGACGGTAACTTTATTCAAAGGTACTAATATGTACAGTTTAGGTTATAATACTTACCTTTAAGGTAATAATATGCACCCTTTAGTAGTAAATAAGGTACAAAAGTGTACTTTAAAAAAAAGCTACTGGCCCATTTGTATCATTTAGAGCACTGGTTCTCACTTCCATCTTTGCAACATGATTTAAAACAAAGAAAAACAAGCTTTAAAATTAGCTTGGCTAAAAATCAAGATGTAAAACATACACACACCTTGCAGAATCTGCAAAATGCTAATTATTTCACCAAAGTAAGAGGGATCATACAAAATGCATGTTATTGTTTATTTAGTACTGACCCGAATAAGATATTTCACATAACAGATGTTTACATATAGTCCACAAGAGAACATAATAGTTGAATTTATAAAAATGACCCTGTTCAAAAGTTCTGATTCTTAATATTGTGTTGTTAGCTGAATGATCCACAGCTGTGTTTTTTTGTTTAGTGATAGTTGTTCATGACTCCCTTGTTTGTCCTGAACAGTTAAACTGCCTGCTGTTCTTCAGAAAAATCCTTAAGGTCCCACAAATTCTTTGGTTTTCCAGCATTTTTGTGTATTTGAACCCTTTCCAACAATGACTGTATGATTTTGAGATACATCTTTTCACACCGAGGACAACTGAGGGACTCATATGCAACTATTACAGAAGGTTCAAAACGCTCACTGACGCTCCAGAAGGAAAAACCATGCATTAAGAGAACTTTTGAATGTGAAAGATCAGGGTAAATTTTACTTATTTTGTCTTCTGGGAAACATGTAAGTACCTTCTGTAGCTTCTGAAGGGCTAAATGAAAAAATATGATACTTAGGCAAAATAATAAAAATGTACACATCTTCATTCTGTTCAAAAGTTTTCACCCCCACCCCCGCCATCTCTTTATGTATGGTTTTTCTGCTGCTTCCGGTGGGATCAGGGGTGATTTGAGAATCACGATGAGGGCTTATCCAAAGGAGGTTACACTCGAAGTGGATTGGTCTCTCTGGCGAGATTGGTCACCGACGTGACGTCTCCGTTCCCTCCTTCAGGGAACAAGAGTTACAAATGTAACCGAGACGTTTCTACAAATAAAAAGATAATTGCGCAGCAGAAGTCTCAGAAATATCTTTGAATATCGTCTTTGTCACTGGAGGGCATTACAGTCAAAAAGAGAACCACTGCACTTGATTAACTTGAGGTTTAGTGTTTTGTTCCTGGTGATGGTTTACAGAGCAACCCTTGCTGGGTTTGAACCTGAAGCCCTTGAGTTTCTTTCCCGGATCTCTAACCACTTTCACAGCTTAGTTAAAACACATCTGCACACACCTCCATCACTGCAGGACACGCAGACGGACACACATCAAACGGCCGAATGCCTTTGATTTCACACTTATACAATAACACACAATCAGCGGACGTGCACAGGAGAGACGCTGTGCAGTGAGCTGTGTTTATCTGATCATGCTGATAATAATATTTCATAATACCTGTTGAAGCAAAGAAAAACACACATTTATGGGCTTATTCAAAGCTCTAATCAACTATAGCAGCAGGAAAGAAGTCTCAATGAATGAGGAAAAACAAATCATGTTTGTTCTTATGTTGATAAAATTTGAAAGGGGCAGGCAGAGATCTGGAGGAGACGCCTGGACGAAGAGCAGCACTTAAGATGTTCCAGAACATTCTACCAAATCAACTATTCTGGAGATTTATTTTCATATGTATCAACCAAATTTAAAAAGAGAGCCCTAAAGGAGTTAAAAACATCATAATCCAGCAAAATACGTTTCAAAATATTGAACCTTGGTGAAAGTAGTGTATTAAAATAACAAATAATCTATATTATTTATTAAAATATAATAATGTGTCTATGGAGAAATTCTCAAAAAGAGAAAAGAGAATTGCTGCTTTGTTCTTGTTTTCTTACTTGGAAGTTTCCCACAATCATGAGTCCTGCAGCACAGAGCCATCCGGCAAACAGACCCTCGATGTTCAACACACTGTTGCTGTGCTTATGGATGAGTTGAGCGTAACGTAGCAGACCAATCACAATCACTGTAATACACAAAACAGAATGATCACAGTCACTGTAACACACAAACAGAACGATCACAGTCACTGTAACCCACAAACAGAACGATCACAGTCACTGTAACCCACAAACAGAACGATCACAGTCACTGTAACCCACAAACAGAACGATCACAGTCACTGTAACCCACAAACAGAACGATCACAGTCACTGTAACCCACAAACAGAACGATCACAGTCACTGTAACCCACAAACAGAACGATCACAGTCACTGTAACCCACAAACAGAACGATCACAGTCACTGTAACCCACAAACAGAACGATCACAGTCACTGTAACCCACAAACAGAACGATCACAGTCACTGTAACCCACAAACAGAACGATCACAGTCACTGTAACCCACAAACAGAACGATCACAGTCACTGTAACCCACAAACAGAACGATCACAGTCACTGTAACCCACAAACAGAACGATCACAGTCACTGTAACCCACAAACAGAACGATCACAGTCACTGTAACCCACAAACAGAACGATCACAGTCACTGTAACCCACAAACAGAACGATCACAGTCACTGTAACCCACAAACAGAACGATCACAGTCACTGTAACCCACAAACAGAACGATCACAGTCACTGTAACCCACAAACAGAACGATCACAGTCACTGTAACCCACAAACAGAACGATCACAGTCACTGTAACCCACAAACAGAACGATCACAGTCACTGTAACCCACAAACAGAACGATCACAGTCACTGTAACCCACAAACAGAACGATCACAGTCACTGTAACCCACAAACAGAACGATCACAGTCACTGTAACCCACAAACAGAACGATCACAGTCACTGTAACCCACAAACAGAACGATCACAGTCACTGTAACCCACAAACAGAACGATCACAGTCACTGTAACCCACAAACAGAACGATCACAGTCACTGTAACCCACAAACAGAACGATCACAGTCACTGTAACCCACAAACAGAACGATCACAGTCACTGTAACCCACAAACAGAACGATCACAGTCACTGTAACCCACAAACAGAACGATCACAGTCACTGTAACCCACAAACAGAACGATCACAGTCACTGTAACCCACAAACAGAACGATCACAGTCACTGTAACCCACAAACAGAACGATCACAGTCACTGTAACCCACAAACAGAACGATCACAGTCACTGTAACCCACAAACAGAACGATCACAGTCACTGTAACCCACAAACAGAACGATCACAGTCACTGTAACCCACAAACAGAACGATCACAGTCACTGTAACCCACAAACAGAACGATCACAGTCACTGTAACCCACAAACAGAACGATCACAGTCACTGTAACCCACAAACAGAACGATCACAGTCACTGTAACCCACAAACAGAACGATCACAGTCACTGTAACCCACAAACAGAACGATCACAGTCACTGTAACCCACAAACAGAACGATCACAGTCACTGTAACCCACAAACAGAACGATCACAGTCACTGTAACCCACAAACAGAACGATCACAGTCACTGTAACCCACAAACAGAACGATCACAGTCACTGTAACACACAAACAGAACGATCACAGTCACTGTAACACAAACAGAGCGATCAGTCACTGTAACACATGAAACAGAGCGATCACAGTCACTGTAACACACAAACAGAACGATCACAGTCACTGTAACACACAAACAGACCGATCACAGTCACTGTAACACACAAACAGAACGATCACAGTCACTGTAACACACAAATGAATAGAGAAAAACATAAATAAACTAATATTAAAAAAACTAACTAAAATGAAAACAGAAAATATAAATGATCTAATTTAAAATATAAACAAAACTAGTATATCAATGATACTAAAATAACACTGCAACAGAAATAGGTACTTTACTCTTAGTAAAATAATCACATCTTCTGTAATTAAATGCATTCAAAGTTTTATTGAACTGAAATCGCCAGATTAACATACACTCTTAATAAATACTCACATGATCCAGATTCCAGGCAGTGTGAACACAGGCAAACTGATGGGAAGCAGAAACCACAGAGACATTTTCCCTCGTCCTGAAGAGCTTCTCTGAATCATTGCATCAGATCAAACTCCACTCATCTTCATTCAGTGTAAAACCTCACAGATCAACACATGACAGCAAGTGTTTTCTGTCAGTGTCTGGTGCTGTGTGTTCAGATACAGTGAGAGAGGAACACATGAGGTCTGATCTGATGCTCCTCCTCTCCTCTCATGTCCAGCAGAGGCCAGCATTTCTCATTAAAATAACGCCATATGGCTTCAGTAAAAATTCTATTGATCACAGCAATGAATTAGAGTTTAACAGAGATGTTAACTGTTTCAAATTCTAATAACATTTCACATTTTCACATTATTTTTGACCAAATAAATGCAGCCTCGGTGAGCAGAAGAGACTTCTTTCAATAACATTAAAACATCTGCCTGACCCCAAACATTTTTGAACTCTTAAGAGATTCTGAACAAAAGATCTGAGAAATGACAGAACTAAAATGACGTTTATTAGGTGTTTATTATTAATGAACACATGCTTCAGAACGTTCCTTCAGGACTTTGCAAATAAACTCATATTTTAAAATGAATATAACATTTGGTTAATTGTTCGTATAAAGAGAGGGTGAGAAAAATACATTCAAATGATGTTTGGTAAGATCTAGAAGAACAGGCGATAACTGAAGATAATGAATCTCTGAGACAACACCTGAATCTACCTGCTCTGGCAATCAACCAGATCAGCTCAAATGCTGTATGTTGACTAACCAGAAAAACGACTTTACACCGTCTGACAGGCCTCGACAACCACAAACACAAACACAATACCAACTCTGTGCTCTCTGACGTACTGAAGTGCTATATTCACAGTAAGTGTAGGACTCAGAAGTGCTGAAATATAACACACTAACGAGAGTACTGTATGTCACCTGCAGCATCTGTTTTACAGAAATACATACTGAGAAAACCTGCATATGCTCATTTTTACTGACACTTTTAAACTCTATAAACTGCAAACCCTTTTCAATTCTTTCTTGCATGTCTGCATTTGCAGTGAGATTTTGTGCAAATTAAATTTGGACATTTTATGGCAAATGTAGTTAGCTGTGTGTGAATATACTGTAATATTCAGCAGCTCAACTTTTGGGGATTTTTTTGCTGTTTTGAAGGGTTTTGATCACTCATGTTTGTAACATTACACGATCAATGGTTTCATTGTTACAGTCATCAGAGGAGAATGTGTGGCTTTGTTTCACTGGGATAAAATCAATGCTTTAACACACAAGATGTGTATCATTAACACACGTTTAACTCATTCATTTATAAAAAAAAGGAACATTTGATCAAAGTCACATTTCACACTAAAACCATTAGAAAAACATTTAAAATCACATATTTTGCATGAATGAAATAAAGCCTATTTTAAGAACACTTTTTACCATTTTGTTTGCGTTGTGACATTTTCATAACAATTAACCAAGTTATGCACAGCTTATAAAAATAGCTACTGGAATTCAATAATTTCTTCAAATAAAATCGACAACTTGTATATATATATATATTGCATTGTGACATTTTTTAATGACAATTAAGCATGTTAAATCTCCATGTTCGCATTTAGAGGGTTTTGCTTCTGAATTCTTCATATATATATATATATAGCATATTTAAAAAATAATGAATTAAAAAAAATGTAATTGATACTAAAATAACACTGCAACAGAAATAGGTACTTTACTCTTAGTAAAATAATCACATCTTCTGTAATTAAATGCATTCAAAGTTTTATTGAACTGAAATCGCCAGATTAACATACACTCTTAATAAATACTCACATGATCCAGATTCCAGGCAGTGTGAACACAGGCAAACTGATGGGAAGCAGAAACCACAGAGACATTTTCCCTCGTCCTGAAGAGCTTCTCTGAATCATTGCATCAGATCAAACTCCACTCATCTTCATTCAGTGTAAAACCTCACAGATCAACACATGACAGCAAGTGTTTTCTGTCAGTGTCTGGTGCTGTGTTTTCAGATACAGTGAGAGAGGAACACATGAGGTCTGATCTGATGCTCCTCCTCTCCTCTCATGTCCAGCAGAGGCCAGCATTTCTCATTAAAATAACGCCATATGGCTTCAGTAAAAATTCTATTGATCACAGCAATGAATTACAGTTTAACAGAGATGTTAACTGTTTCAAATTCTAATAACATTTCACATTTTCACATTATTTTTGACCAAATAAATGCAACCTCGGTGAGCAGAAGAGACTTCTTTCAATAACATTAAAACATCTGCCTGACCCCAAACATTTTTGAACTCTTAAGAGATTCTGAACAAAAGATCTGAGAAATGACAGAACTAAAATGACGTTTATTAGGTGTTTATTATTAATGAACACATGCTTCAGAACGTTCCTTCAGGACTTTGCAAATAAACTCATATTTTAAAATGAATATAACATTTGGTTAATTGTTCGTATAAAGAGAGGGTGAGAAAAATACATTCAAATGATGTTTGGTAAGATCTAGAAGAACAGGCGATAACTGAAGATAATGAATCTCTGAGACAACACCTGAATCTACCTGCTCTGGCAATCAACCAGATCAGCTCAAATGCTGTATGTTGACTAACCAGAAAAACGACTTTACACCGTCTGACAGGCCTCGACAACCACAAACACAAACACAATACCAACTCTGTGCTCTCTGACGTACTGAAGTGCTATATTCACAGTAAGTGTAGGACTCAGAAGTGCTGAAATATAACACACTAACGAGAGTACTGTATGTCACCTGCAGCATCTGTTTTACAGAAATACATACTGAGAAAACCTGCATATGCTCATTTTTACTGACACTTTTAAACTCTATAAACTGCAAACCCTTTTCAATTCTTTCTTGCATGTCTGCATTTGCAGTGAGATTTTGTGCAAATTAAATTTGGACATTTTATGGCAAATGTAGTTAGCTGTGTGTGAATATACTGTAATATTCAGCAGCTCAACTTTTGGGGATTTTTTTGCTGTTTTGAAGGGTTTTGATCACTCATGTTTGTAACATTACACGATCAATGGTTTCATTGTTACAGTCATCAGAGGAGAATGTGTGGCTTTGTTTCACTGGGATAAAATCAATGCTTTAACACACAAGATGTGTATCATTAACACACGTTTAACTCATTCATTTATAAAAAAAAGGAACATTTGATCAAAGTCACATTTCACACTAAAACCATTAGAAAAACATTTAAAATCACATATTTTGCATGAATGAAATAAAGCCTATTTTAAGAACACTTTTTACCATTTTGTTTGCGTTGTGACATTTTCATAACAATTAACCAAGTTATGCACAGCTTATAAAAATAGCTACTGGAATTCAATAATTTCTTCAAATAAAATCGACAACTTGTATATATATATATATTGCATTGTGACATTTTTTAATGACAATTAAGCATGTTAAATCTCCATGTTCGCATTTAGAGGGTTTTGCTTCTGAATTCTTCATATATATATATATATAGCATATTTAAAAAATAATGAATTAAAAAAAATGTAATGGTCCTAAAACTAGGCTTTATTTTTATTTCTTCTTGTATTTCATTCTTCTTCTTTAAACTTATTTTAATCTCGGAGCGTGTTCAATTCCCTTTACGGATGGTTTTGCATTACTTTAAAGGAACAGGACGGATGTGGACGGCAGTGATGAGCTGTTCTCACTCTCGTTTCACTCTCTTCTCGTCTCCAGAGCGCTTGAGGTAGGACTGATAGAAGAAGACGGAGAAGAGCAGCAGGTAGCTGAGGTACATCACAGAGGCGAAGATGATATTGTGCATGGTGGAGAAGCAGTGGATGTCATGTTTCCAGAGGTAGAGGAGCCCCACGAAACTTAGCCCCATGATCATCTGTGTGATCTGCATGAGCGTGATCAGCATGGCGAAGGGTCGCGGCACACGAGCGCCAGCTGCTTTAGCCGTGTAGTAGCTGTACATGAATGCATGGACGGTGTAGTTCATGGTCATGAACCAGCCGCCGCCGGCCACACGGTCTTTATACGTGTACCAGGAGTAGAGCAGGACGGTGATGTGATGATACCAGTGCAGGAAGATCAGACGCTGCTTACGCAGGACGATGAACACCGTGTCCCCTGAACAACACCACAAACACAACACAAGCAGCTCTTGACATGCACATCACAAAAAATCATTTCAACTGGCCTTCAAAGACACTAATGCACTTATAATGGAAATCTAGAGTTATTATGCATGCATAAATTAATGCAGTGTAATAAAATCATTTGCTAAGCATATCTGTGCAAAGTTATTTTACATTTACATGCATGCGTTTGAAAGGTTTACAAACACAAGGTGTACATTTTATCAGTTCTTGCTTTCACCCAGAAGTTATCTTTTATGCAATCTTTTAACTCCCATCATAAGAATGCAAAGTCAGTAACATGATATGCATGAGGATGCTAGAAAGCGTTGAGATGTAACTATACGTTATTTGATCAGTCACATTTCACCCCAAAATCATTAGAAAAACATATGTTGCATTAATAAAATGAAGCCTATTTTAAGAACATTAAGATTTTTTTGCATTGTGACATTATTTTCATAACAATTATTACCTTGTATTTTAGTGTAAAAAATACCGTAATTCAGTGATTTTTTTACAATTTAAATGACCAAGTTAAAGGCTGTACACTGAAAAAAAAATTTGTTTTTGAAGTTGCAAAACGAAAATTACATAACATTTATGAATGTTAATTAATATTAAGTTCAAAATTTAATACATTATTAAAATGTAAAGTTAACTTATGTACTGTGAAAATTAATAAATGCTGTAAAAATATATTGTTCATTTTTAGTTAATGTTAGTTAATGCATTAACTAATGTTAACCAAAGAGACCTTATTTAAAAGTGTTACCAAAACCTTTAATTATCTATAAGCATTTTTAAAAATGATTTTAGGGATCTATAAGCATTTGTGAAAAATTTTGCCTGCATTACAGCTTAGTATTACAGCTTACACACACACACACAGAAAGAGAATAATATATAAAACTTTTGTAACAACTTATAATAAGGTTTTAGTTGTTAACATTAAATAACTACGTTAGTTAACATGAACAATATTTATATAGCATTTATGAATCTTAGTTAATACTATGTTCAAAATGTACTACTACATTATTAACTAAAATGTATAGTTAATGTATAATGTCTGTCTAATGTATAATGTTAATGTCTGAAACATCCCTGAGCATTTTAAATTTATGAAACTAAGCATGTTCCTAAGAATGACTTGTTCTCCATATGTAAAAGGTTTTGTTTGGATAATGCACTTTAAAGATATAAGAAAATCTTTTTTTATTGTTACTCTTTTTTAGAATCACAACAGTCAAATCTATGAGATGATGTAAATTCAGATGAATGTCATGTCACAGGATGTCATAGGTCAGTATCAAATGAGTGTCAAATTATTATTTCTGACTGTGTTCCAGGGGGCGCCGTAGAGCCCCTGTGCCACGCCCGGGTCCCAGCCTCTGCGCCGTCCTAATGGCCGCAGATTCTAACGTGTGCCAATTTTCAAGAGTTTTTGAGCATGTTAAGGCCCCCAAAAACCCCGGAAATGTCAAAAAAAAAAATTTTCATAAATCCTTAGAAGAACAAGAGGGCCATGCGCCTTAGTGGCTTGGGCCCTAATAAGAATATGATTAATTACAAGAAAATTATTTTCAGTTTTTCTGCTTCAAAATTTCATATTTAATTCAATATGTTATTTGCCATTTCTTTGTAGTTACTGAAATTTGAGTCAAAATTGTTTATACACTAAATTTCTTTCAGTGTACAACTGTCATGTAAATGCTTTACAAATTAAATAATATATAGATGTTTCAATTTTTTTATGTTATAATAATGAGAACATGAAGCTTAAATGTGCTTAATTGTCATGAAAAATGCCACAATGCAAATAAATAAATAAATGGCTTAATTTTGCTGATGCTAAATATAATTTCTTGAATTTTCGGGTGAAATATTCATGAAGATGTTTACATAAGCAAACTAGTACCCATAACACATAACCACAAGTTAATCTGGTTAGATGAGCATTCTTACCACTACACTTTACATCTCAAATAACACATTTAAAAGTGTTTAATAACACAAACATATGAGTGTCACATTTCTGCTTTTAAGCCATTTACAACAAACTGTAAATGCAATTTTTGTTTGTTCTTGGACAGTCATAATTATTTATGATAATCAACAGAGTGTCACAAATGCAGTGCATAATTGTTTTGGACCCGGAACATTAATTTCAGGTGATAAATGTTGGGGGTTCGAGTTTAAAGTTTAAATAAACTAAAGGTCTGAATGATTTTCTGTACTTTACAGGCGTTAAAAAAATACAAATTTACAAAAAATACAAATACAAAAATATTTACGGTAGGAGATGTACAAAATATCTTCATGGAACATGATCTTTACTTAATATCCTAATGATTTTTGGCATAAAAGAGAAATGTATAATTTTGACCCATACAATGTATTGTTGGCTATTGCTACAAATATCCCCCAGCGACTCAACACTGCTTTTGTGCTGCAGGGTCACAATTCTTTGTAACTATTTGTGAAATTTAGTGAATATAGTTTAAAAGTAATTCCTACTCCAGTTCCAATTCTTTTCACTGAAGAACAAAGGAATAATGGATGAATTATGAGCTATATTTCCTCCCTTTTATCCAAAGCAGTCACAGAGTCAGCAGTTAATGTGAAAGTCTTACCGAGCTCAGGCGCTTTACTCAGAGTGAAGGCAAACGCCCAGAACTTGCTGACAGGCGCGCTGAAGAACTCCGTGTCGCACACAGACTCCTGAAGCCCACGTGACTGCACCATATTGAACATGTACCAGCCTGACCGCATCGCTCCCGTTATACTGACACACAGACAACAGCAATGAGGAGACACGCCATATCTGTTCCCTTCAGAGAATCAAGAGAACTCACAGAGGAGAGAGACCTCAAACTGAGCTCGTATCTGAGCCAAGAGACTTCTCATCAAAACAGAGAAAGTCTGAGTAAAACTCACCGCCACAATACTAGGGTTAGTT